TTCAAGGTTCATCCATGTTGTAGCACGTATCAGAATTTCATTCTTTTTTATGGCTGGACAATATTTCATTGTGCGTGTATAGTTATGGCATAAAATATTTTGTCCATTCACCTGTTGAAGGATACTTGGGTTACTTCCACATTTTGGCCATCATAAGTACTGTTATGGACATGGATGTACAAACATGTTTGAGTCCCTGCTTTCAATTCTTTTGTGTATATACTGATCAGTGGAATTGTTGGATATGGTAACTCAACGTTTAATTTTTTGGGGAACTGCCAACAGTTTCCACAGCAGCTGTACCATTTAACATTTCCACCAGCAGTGCACAAGGGTTCAGTGTCTCCACATCCTTTCCATTACTTGTTTTGTTTTGTAATTAATAATTTAAAAATTATTGCCATCCTAGTAGGTGTGCAGTGATAACCTCATTGACAGTTTGATTTACATTTCCCTAATGACTAATCATGTTCAATACCTTCTCATGTGCTTATTGGCCATTTGTATATTTTATTCAGAGAAATGTCTATTCAAGTCCTTTGCCCATTAAAAAAAAAACATTTTTTTTGTTATCCACTGGGATTTTGATGAGATTGTATTGAATCTGTATATCAATGTGTAGAATTGAAATACTAATAATACTGAGTCTCTAATCCATGAACATGATATATCTCTTCATGTATTCTGATCTTATTTAATTTCTGTCATCACAATTTTGAGACTTTTAGTGTAGAGATCTTACACATCTTTTTCAAAAGTTTATTCCTGTGTCTTTTCACACTATTAAGAGTAGAACTGTTTTTTAACAAGTTCTTTTTCTAATTATTTATTACTAATATATAAAATACAGTTGATTTTGTATATTAACCTTGTATTCTGCAATCTTGCCAACTTATTAATTCTATGTATGATTTTCTGTTTAAACAATATTTTGCTCATGTTCCTGGAAATCTGCTTCTCTATACTTGTGAGAAGTTTGGGAGAAACTTGTATTTTGTCTGTTATTCTGGTGAATTAAAAGTCATCGGAGACAACACAATGCACAGGATATAACAGGTGCTTAATAAATACTCACTGATGGCTGGAAGGGCCTATAGATGATTGGAAAAGACTTTGTAACAAAAATAGAGAACAAAGTTCTTTATTTTCAAAATATTGTGAGCAGTGTAATTAGTTACTAGATTAAAAATTTATATTAGATATTCTAAAAAATGTTATCAAACTTTTAGTTGGTGTGTTTAGTAACCCCAAATTACTGTCATAATGTGCATTAAAGTGAGTTTTCATTTGTGACTGATTTCATAGTTGTATGTCATGAAGACTTATAAATGCCTTAGAAATTACTATTGTGGTTTATCGTAGAGAAGGGTAAAGGATAAATCCTGCTAACATAAGAATTATCATGCAGAGGATACACCCCTATTTTTTTCAGTGGCCTCAGATAACAATATAAGGGAGAGAAGAAATACTCCACATGTTTAATGACAAGATGTGGGCAAAACACCTTTCAAAGATCTGTGGTCCTATGACTCAAAAAATGCTTAAGTTTAATACATGTAATTTTTTCCCAGTTTTATTGAGATATTATTGACGTACAGCATATGTAAGTTTAAGGTGTACACAGGATTTGATACACATATACACTGAGAAATGATTACTACAATAAGGTTAACTCTATCCTGTCACATAATTACCTTTTTGTGTGGTAATAACTTTTAAGATCTACTCTCTTAACAGCTTTCAAGTATATAATACAGCATTGTTAATTACAGTCACAATGCTGTACATTAGATCCCTAGAACTTATTCATTTTATAGCTGGACATTTGTATCTCCCCATTTCCCCACCTCCTATCCTAGCCCCTGGCAACCACCATTCTACTCTATCTTTTGAGTTCAGCTCTTTTAGATTCTACATGAGTGAGAACATATAGTGCTTGTCTGACTTATTTCACTTAGCATAATGCCCTTAAGGTCCATCCATGTTGTTGTAAAAGATGGGAATTCCTTCCTTTTTATGGCTGAATAATATTCCATTGTGTATGTGTACGGTAATGATTTGTGATGTTGAACACCTTATCATGTACCTTTTGGCCCATTCGTATGTTTTTGGAAAAATGTATATTCAAGTCCTGTGCCCACTTTTTTTGCTATTGATTTGTATGAGTTCCTGATATATTTTGGCTCTTAACCCCTTATCAGATAGTTTGCAAACATTTTCTCCCATTGGGTCGCCTCTTCATTTTGCTGGTTTCCTTTGCTATGCAGAAGCTTTTTAGTTTGATGTAGTCCCAGTTGTTTATTTTCCTTTTGTTGCTTGTGCTTTTGGTGTCATAGCCAAAAAATTGTTGCCAAGACCAATGTCAAGGAGCTTTCACCCTACGTTTTCTTCCAGTAGTTCTAGTTTTGGGTCTTAAACATTTAAGTCTTTATTCCTTTTCAAGTTAATTTTTATGAGTGGTGTATTCTTCTGTGCGTGGTTATCCGGTTTTCCCAACACCACTTACTGACAAGACTGTCCTTCCCTCATTGAGTCTTCTTGGCTCCCTTGTCGATATTAGTTGACTGTATATGTGTGGGTTTATTTCTGGGCCCTCGATTTTGTTCCATTGGCCTGTGTGTCTATTTTTGTCAGTACCATACTGTTTTGGTTACTATAGCTTTGTACTAAAGCTTAAAATCAGGAATTGTGCCTCCAGCTTTTGTTCTTCTTTCTCATGATTTTTTTTTTGGTGGGGGGGGCGCTATTCAGGGTCTTCTCTGGTTCCATACAAATTTGACTTTTTTCTTCTGTGAAAAATGCAATTGGAATTTTGATAGGGATGGCATTGAATCTATAGATGGTAAAATGCTTCTATGATGTGATTAAACCTAAAATGGGATCCAAGAACAGTGTTGGCTGCAGCCTCCTGCAAGAATAGACATGTTTGGCTCAGTTCTACATTGCCTATCTCCATAATTTAGTTGCGACTTCTGTCAGAACTGTAGTTGGTTATTTTTACCTCATTCTAGGTTTGAAAAAGAGTAATTTACCCATAGTTCCACTGCAGTGAATTTGGGGACATCAGAGGTTTTCTACCTTCCCACAGTATGGCATGAAAACAATGAGACAGCATTCAACTTTCCTCATGGCTGTAGGGGAAAAACTGGACTTGGGCCAAAGGAAAGTAGCTCCCTTTCCTCACCAGTTTGCTTGGCTCACATGAATATATGATCATACAGCTTTGGAGGTTTCTGCACTCTCATTTCTGTTGATACTTCACTGTACAGGCAAACCTCATTTTATTGTGCTTTGCAGATACTGCTTTTTTTTTTTTTTTTTTTTAACAGATTGAAAGTTTGTGGCAACCCTGCGTCAAGTAAGTCTATCAGTGCCATTTCCCCAGCAGCATTATTTTAAAATTAAGGTCTGTACACTTTTTAAAAAAAAAAATAATGCTATTGCACATTTAATAGACTACAGTATAAACATAATTTTTATATGCACTGGGAAATGAAAAAATCCATGTGACTTGCTTTCTTGTGATCATGTGCTTTATTGTTGTGGTCTGGAACCAAACCAGCAATATCCCCAAGGTATGTCTACAGTTTGGAAAAGCCAACTTCTGCCTCTATAGGAAAACCATGAGGCCCAAAGGCTTCAAGCTCTCCAGGGGTCAAGACGACAAATAGTTGTTACCACTACTTAAAAAGAAATGGACGATACGCCTCAAGTCCCTTCCCCAGCTCCTGACCCCTGGTGCTCACACACGATGTTAAGGTAAGGCAGAAGCCACTTACTGGCGATGGGTTTTGGGGAAAGTTAATTGCTGTACCTCAGTTTCCTCATTCAGCGCCTTGACTGTGGCCCTGTGGAGAGATGCCCCTGAACCAGGAGCGCCCAGCTAAGCCACACCAGATTTCTGACCCACAGAAGCAGTGAGATAATAAGTGTTTGCTATTTTAAGCCACTAAATTTTGGGCTAATTTGCTACACAGCAATAGATATACTACTTTGCAGAAAGATCAAAAGAAATAAGAAAATCAGGTCCCTCCTCACTATTTTTAATGTTTTTTTCAATTACTATTTAATCATTAGGCGTTTGTTGGGCTTATGAGTAGAAATTTTTCTAAATGTCAGTCTCTTCCCCAGATCAGTGTGAATAGTCAGCGGGCTGCATTTCCAAATAACAAAGCCACTATGGGTGGTATAATTCTAGCGCTAACAGCAGGCCCACCATTTCTTCTGGGTCTTCTATTCATCAACCTGGTTTGGTATCCAAATACCTGAACTCTACGTAGAGTTATTCATAACTGCTCTCTCCTAATACTTGGGAGGGCCAGCTCTAGATTTCTCTGCTCTAACAAACGATTCTTTGCTTCTTCCTCTCTCTGGCTTCTGCCATGAAGTAGGTGGTAATGACAGTTAGAACCGTCATCATTTCTTATTTCCTGCACATCAGTTTATGGACTGTTTGCCTCTTTAGTAACCACTTCTCAAGCGCCTCTCACTGATCCCCTGGGATTAATCAAGCCCTTAACAGAAATCCAACTTGGACAAATCCAAGTCATTCCTGGACGTATCATTGTTGGAACATTTAAGTAAAATAACCATTTTGATTTTTCTTTCTATTTCATACTGCATTTGCATTTTTCAAGATGTTAAGAAAACTTTAAAAAACTTGATTTCTCTCAAGTTTTATTAGGAAGTATGCCTACATGTGCTGCATATTTACAATTCTCCTACTAAAAACAAAACTAAATTTTCATAACCATGGCATGTCCGTCTCTTGTAATGTTAATCCTCTCCCGAAGTTTATTCTGCAGACACACCCTGGGCCCCTCGATTGGAATGACCTGCACATTGGGAAACAGAGAACGGTTGAACCATTCCTGGGCCCAAGGCTGGCAAAGTTGGAGATGGCAAAAATGAAGTTGCCTTTTTCCTCCTCTAATGAAGAACTGCTTCCCACTGACATGTCCATTCCAGAGACAGAACTGACAGCCAACTCTCCATGAAACCTGAGGAAGTAGTTCTATAGTGTTACAGTTCTTGGGTCACTAAAGCCCTTTGTGATGCTTTGCTGCTGGCCAGGTTGGACTGACCTCCGACTGAATTTCAACTGGTCCGAAAAGACGGTAAGCGTCTACTTCTACTGCTGGCCAGTTCTAAGACTTGTATGCTACTCTCCACATTTTAATACTTGCAAAATTGGCATGTGTGTTACAACTGATGCTATCTCAGAGTTGATGTAATCTGGTAAATACCTGTTTTAAGCAATTCCATTATTTCAGACACAGGCATCTGAGTTTACTGCTCAGCGCAATGCGGAGAATCCTGATCATCTGTGGGAGAAGCAGTGGTGAGCGGAGGGTTGTGGGTGGAGCCTGAGATGCTGGTTCAGGCCCTCCCCCAGAAGGTCAAGGTCAGTGTCAGCGCTCTGTGCTGGTGTTTCTCATACTGACACAGCTCAGATGAAGTTAAGCACCCGTTCGTACAATTTAAGAAATATACTAATGCACGTACCAAACTAAAATTTGCTGTGGTGTTTTCTAAGTTCAGTTCTGTATATTTTCATATTCTTTCAGATACTAAATGGCTATATAAATTGTAGGTTTACCAAAACACAGCCACTTCTATAAAAAATAAGTTTTATTAACAAAATGAGCTCACATTGTGAAATACAGATAGATGGGTTCATTTTGCTAATTCTGGGGGATCATCTTTCTTATCAGGTACAGCACTGTAGACAATAAAACAAACTCAAAGACTAGTTCCCCTGCCCAAGGCCTGTGAAACCATGAAAAACAGGTCACAAGTCCTCATCTTTTTACCTCTCCGTCCACTATTAACCTCCTGGAAAGCTGCTGTAGCTCTCAGCCTTCTCCTCAGCTTGTTGCCTCACCTGCCTGGCCACCTGAGAGAGGCAGGACTGGGAAGAAGACGAGGCTGAAGGTTAAAGGAAAAGCTCTTGCCTGAAACAGTACCAAGAAGCCAGACTGGGAGATTCTGGCTGTAACTCCTGAGAATGTTGCTCAAGCCAGAGACCACCACCACAGAGACCTGCCAGGCTGCATGGCTTTCCTCCGCTGGGTGCTGGGCAGCCACAGTGAAGGACTGCAGCAGGGTCTCAGGGAAGTGGAGATGCCTTTCGTATTCCACTCAGAACTTCTGTAGGAATTTGAGGACAAGGTCCCGCAGCCGTACCCTGAGCATCTCGTCATTGTCGCAGATGATATGGGTCGAATCTTCCTCGATCTGGATGAGTGTCTCAGCTTCCTGTAGCAGGACGATATGGCCCTTGGCTGTGTCTTCCACCTTAATATCACTGAAGCCATGCTGCTCCAAAAGAAAAGGGACAGGAGGATGTTGGGTGCTCTGAGAAGCCAGAGGACATTTCAGCAACTGAGAGTTCTAAAATCACGCTTCCTAGAATTGGCTAAACTGAACATCCTAGAAACTGGCATTTTGGACACTCAGTACAATTCTACAGACTAATCACAGGACCAGCTACAGCAACAGAATTCAAACTGAAGCCCCCAAACGTGCAAATATCTCATGCAAAACACAGCAGAATTCCTACAACCTGCTTAAACTTTTATCTGAGGAGCACATCTAAGCACCTGAGCTCAGGAGCCTGGGATGCCAGGCTGTTCCACACCAGCCTCCATACCACGCCTGTGGTCCCTGGTAAAACTCCATCCTGTCCCAGGAAAATGCCATTCTTCACAGCAAGATACCACTGACCTTTTGATGTGGCAAATTCCTCCCAAGGGAGAAGACAGATAAGACAGCATATCAAATACTTCTCCAGGGCCACCTCCAATGCTAATTCAGAATTTTCTTACACATCACATGTCAAGTTGAGAAAGAAGAAAAGAAATGGAAAGAGGACTAATTTGCCTGGAAAGGACCCAGGCTAGGTAAATGAACGTGACCTAGGGAGATTCTCCACACTTGGCTCTGGAAATCTCATGTGTAGTTTGGGGCAGCCACGGATATTCCTCCTGCAAAGGCGGTGGGGCAGAAATGGTGGGGGGAGTAGCTAGGGTCGGGGCCTAGGGGTCAACTCCCGAGCACCCAGGCAGAAGAGCTAAACAAAGTCTTTCTGGGAAAGCAAGCTGTTTGAAGATTTTAAGAAACAAGTCAAGCGTGAGTCCCGTCAGCAGGGACGGGGGGCGCAGCACGGTCGGGAGGAAGCTGCTACTGGTGTGATCACGGCACATGGAGCTCCCTGGGGTAATTCCCACGGGGTGTCCCCACGTCACTAGGGGCCAGGAGAGCCACACGACTCGGGGAAAGCCCTCCCTTCAGGGAAAATTAAACGACTACTGAAGAAAACAATTCCCAATAAAGAGAAAGCTTTTAAGATTTGAAAGAACTCAGCGACTGAGTTATTTAGTTTGGACAAAAGGCAGTAACTAGTTTAACAGAAGAAAGTCTCTTTTCCTGTAATGATCTACTATAGTTGCAGTTCTTCTTGCAAGAAGCAACACGAATAATATTATCTTTAGCCAATTCCTCCTCTTTTCTATAAAGGATTCTATAATTCTGATGCCAAAACAGGCATCTCTGAAGTCCTGTGACTAAAGCCAGAATTACAAAATCTTTTCAGGTTCAACTTTTTTCTTTTTACTTGTAGTCATGGAATCTGTGCCTTGCGGGGAGCAGCCAGCAGGGACAAGGGGCGGGATGGCCGCTGAGCCAGTGCAGGCACCACCATCCTCCACAATGACTGCCTGCTCCTCTCTCCTCCCACCCGGTCTGGGAATCGCTGGCTCTGCTTCCTGAGTGCCTGCGGATCTGGCATCAGTGACCCCTGTGCCCCCGAGTCTCGCCCGAGACTCGTATCTCCTCTGACCTGGCCATGCTAGCTCTGACAGCAAGGGGTCTTCTCATAGGAAAGTGGGGCTCTAGAGGGGGCAGACCCTTCTTTCTCCTGGCCGTCCCCCTGCCCCATCTGTCACAGCTACGTCCTCGAAGAAAGAAAGGCCCCTCCTTGGTCTGGTTCCCACGAGAAGTGGGGGTGGGGGGCAGCCTGGTGCTGGGGGGAAGGGGGGCCCGCTCTCCTCTAAGTCTCCGTGGCCCTCGCCTGGTTCTGTCCCCGCCATGACCGAGGAGCAAGCAGATGCTGCAGGGCCAGCAGCGCAGACAGTGGAGACGGCGAACAGCGGCAGCACGCGCTCCCGGGAGCGGGGCCGCGGGGCCTCAGACGGTGCACCCCACCCGCTCACCTTCTCCAGCGTCTGCACGAACTGCTCCACGGGGATAGAGCCGCTCAGCAGAGGCTTCAAAACCTTGCAGTCTGGAATGTCGTCACTGGCCCGCTTTCTCTTCTTGCCGCCTGTGGGCTGGGCAGGCCTGGGCGGGGGCTGGGTGGGAGGAAAACAGGGATCATCAAGGAGTCACCCGGGAGCCTGAGTGAAGCTACCCGGCCCACGGGACCCGCTTCCTGGAAGGGCCCTGGGCCTGCGTTCAGGGTCACCATCAGCTGGGGCTCCAGCTGGATTTCCACATAATGCACACAAGCTAAAGCCAACTATCCACATAGAATTAACACCTTATTCGGCAAAGATACCTTCCTTTTATCAAAGTCTATTCTTAATTTTCAGCTGACTGATCTCAGTGCTGTCTGCGTAAGGTCTTCATAACCCGTGTCGGTTATGAAGGGGCAGCAGCTCCGAGAACACTGGCTGTGGGGTCAGACTGACTGGCTACAGTCCTTCTGTCAAGAAAATGAAGGGCAGAGAGACTGCCTCTAAGACGGTGATAGTAAAGAGAACTTTGTGAGGATTAAATAAGACAACACCCGGTAGGGCCCTGGCCCGGGGTCCAGCGCACTTTAAGTGGCCGCTATGGGCACGTGATGCAGAGGAACAAGAGCGACACAGCCCAACCCTGAAGGGGGTTTTTCTCGGGGCGGGGGTGAAGACAAGGGCCCAAAGAGCTGCCCCCAAGGCGCACACGTGCCATGAAGTGAGGCACGAGGCGCTGGGGGGAGGGCCCCCACCTGCACAGGGTTCTTCCCGCAGGTCCGCTGTATCTCAGGGCCCTCGCCCTCCCCGACAGTACCTGGAGGATGTGCTTGTTATCTTTAGTGTGCAGCACGGCCGAGACGGTTGCCAAGGAAACGCCAGGCTTGATCTCCATGGGTACCAGTGAGTCCGCAAGCTGGGAGCAAACAGAGGGGTTTCAGTCAGGCTCCCTGTAAACTGGGGGGACGAGGGTGCTGCCATCGTGCTGTGCAGAGGCAGGGGCTAGGAGGCCACACTGGGCAGCAGTGCCACCCCTGTACACGGCCCAGGATTGGATGGTGACACCCAGGGTCAGGGTCACCCTGGCCAGCAGGCCCGCAGCACCATGTGCCCCTGCCAGTCTGGTGGAACGGTCCCAGACGTCAAATGTCAAAACAGCCTTTAGTGATCACCATTATTCGTTTTCTTTTGAATTTTTATTTACATCACTGCAGTCTAAAGTGACCAAATAACTTTAAGAAGTAAAAAAACTTAGAACAATCATTTTTAACCAAAAATACATCACACACACACACACACACACACACACACACACACACACACACACAC